TGCGTTTAAGCAGAGAACAGACTGTCGCCGCTAGATGTTAAACACACAGCCCACTTTTATATTTATATACCCTCTATTTCTGATATTAATATATGTGATATGGATAAAAAATATATATATATATATATATATATATATATATATATATATATATAGAGAGAGAGAGAGAGAGAGATAGAGAGAGATAAAAGTATATTTATATACATATATTATATCTTTATATATATATATTAAACTTTTACATAATTTTTTTTTGTTTTCATTTCGATGTTTTTCGATATTACAGTACATATTTTTTCGATACAATTTAAAATTTTTTAGGTTGTTTGAAATTTAAATTTTAAATTATGAATTTAAGATTTAAAAGTTAAAATTTGAAATTTTAGATTTTAATTATTAATTTTTTACTCCTTAGTAATATTAATAATATTAATATTTTTTGTTTATCTTATATTCACATTATATCCTTTTCCTTTTATCCTATTTTATTTTGTTGATAATTTTTAGATTAATGTCAAACGTTAACTGCAAAATATATCAATCTGCGTTTTTGTTAATTAACTGCAATATGCCTATATGTGTTAATTTATACCTTCTTTTCTCCCCCCCATTATTTCCCTCCAACCCTGATTCCACATTTGCTTTCTTATATCTTTTCTTCTCTTTTTTCTTTTTGTCTCTTTTCCTGTGAGATGATTTATTAAATAGGTCAATATCTGGTCCTTACACTTAAGTATTTTAATAAAAATAGATTTAAAATTATTCCTAACTTTTTTTTCCTTCTCTAATTTCGAGCATATCTGTCGTTCTCCTCCTCCTTTCTCTATAACCTTAAAACTACCCCTGAGAAGAGTATAAAAATAATACGTAAATTTAAAACCATTTTTTATACTTTAAAATGTGATCTGAAGAACCAGGTAAAAACCACCTTTCTGGGAAAATAAAATATAATCAATAGACGCTTAAGGTTGTCTGTTTTCTAATTTTAATTAAATTTATATATATATATATATATATATATATATATATATATATATATATATATATATATATATAATTATAATTTCTTAGTTTCTTATTGATGTAGGCAAACCACTGTGTTGAGTATCGTCAATGATATGTTATTAAAAAATACGTTTTTCCGCAGCAAGTTCAATTTCTAAGATAATCTCCTTTGTCAATGTAAATAATGCAGTAGCGAATATCAATCACACGAATAAAAAATAGAATAGTTAAATATTCAGATAAAAATTCAGTTAATAATTGTGTCGGGCTACGCACTTCTCAAGGCACAGTCGTATTTTGTTTGTTTCATATTTATGCAAAATATCAGCGCTTTGAATGCAGGTGTTTTTCTCTGTCGTTGAACCAAGTCATCCTTGATACTCATTAAGTCGTACGCCATACCCAAATAATATATATATATATATATATATAAATACATACATACTTGTAAAATCCATTTGTCGAATCGTCATTTTATGAACTGTTAAAAGTGGGATAAACCTGAAAAGAGATATAATAATAAAAATAACAATTTGTTATCGTATATATATAATAAAAATACATGTATTATTTATTATTTACCTTTGAACTATTTAGAACTGAAGTCTTTATTTTATGAAATGTAAAGGTTGCGTGTTTCTGTATACTGCAGGTGTGTGCGTGTTCGCATCTAGACAATAAAGGAAGAAGTATACAAAAACTTGGGTTTCTATTATTCCCCTTTTTTATATAAACTGTAATGAAACAAAGTTCTCAATATCTTTTGGGTATATGTTTTCTTTCTCTGATCCAGAAGTTAAGGTAAGTAAGGATAAACATTGCTATAATAACCGAGCTAAAGTTAGTCTTGCGCAGAGTTGGAACAACCAAAGAAAAGTTTGTACTAATTTCTTCATTGGAGGGTCGGCATGGTTATAATGGTCGAGGTGAAATTAGCATTGCACTGAATTGAAAAGACCAAAGGGAAGATTAATTTACTTCATATGTGCAGGTTTGGGAAGACATGGTGAACGCCATTCGTTGAAAAGTGAAAAGAGAATTCACTCATCAGTAGACCGGGGAAACGAACGTTTCCCAGCGTGGACGTCTTTTTTCACGTTCTGATACATCTTAGAGGAAGATGGAGAAATTGTGGGGAAAGAAATATTTTTGTCTTTTTATAGACAGTGACGTCTAATAGGTGTTTGACGAAGCCAAGTGGGGTAATACAGTTTCCCATTTCTTTATTACTAGCATCATTTTTTTTTATTGTTATTCATTATTACTATTTTATTTATAGATTTTAGTTTATTTTCCCACTATGGGTAGATTGTCTCGTTCTGTTGTCCATATATCGGGATAACTTGTCTTTAGTATTGCTCAGTTATTGTTCACCATGTTTCGGCTGAGTTTAAGTGTATTTCCATTAACTAGGCAGAACCGAACGGAAAAAGATGGGATATCCTTGGCCTTGTACAACGACACATGAACAATCTACTCCCGTATGTTAAATAAAGGGTTCAATTCGATATTTACTGAAGGTTACTCGGATCGGCAAGCATGGAGGGTATTACAACTGAAACATTGTGATAATAGTCTGAGGGTATAGAATTTAAATAACAAATATTTTTCAAACAGAAATTGTATTTACATTTTATTCTTTACAAAAAAAATAATTATAATAATATATTTAGTTTTTTTTTTTTTTTTTTTTGTAAACTTTCTTTTAAACTTTCAATGTCTGTAAATAAATGCAGAATTTGACAAAATCAATTCATAAATTCTATTTAACACGATGGGTTTTAATCCTTTCCGTGTAAATAATAATATTATATAACATTTTTAAAAAACATTTATTCTTCGACCACTAGAAGAAAAAAGTGCGAGAAATTGGAAACTAGATTCAAAATAGGTTGCTATATTTCGGGAACCCGTTTTTCATAGATGGCAGTTTTACTTTCAAAACTGAAATCTAATAAATACACAAGCTGACATGAAGTTTATATTGAATCAATAGTTGCTAGGAAAGTTGGCTGACTGTATAGTTCTGACAATTTTTGTCGACGGAATCTATTTTACATATTTATAAGCCTACCATTCGTCCATACATTGAATATTTCTGTCATATCTGGTCTGATGTTTCTGTTATGCATTTAGAGATTCTTGACAAAATCCAAAGCAGAATATTATCAATATTATCGGTTCTAAACTGACATCTAGGCTTTAGTCTCTTTCCCAACGCCGTAACGTAGTTTTCCCGTGTTTTTTATTTCTATAAATATTTTCATGGTAATCGTTCTGATGAGCTTTCCTCTTTGGTACCTAAACTTTAGGGCTTTAAGCGCAGTACTAGATTGGCAGCTAGTTCTGATCACTATTGAAATTACTAGATGCAACAGTAAGTTCTAGCTTAACAAAGTATTCTCTCGCACTTTTCGCTTGCAGATCTCTGTTCCGGTCTCTAGCTTTCCAGCTAACTTTGTTCGTCAAAAGTTTAAATGCAGGGTTAATCGTTATCTTCTGTTCATTTATTGTTCTCTCTTCGTAATATTTATTTATTTTTTGTTGTTTTTCTCATATTCTTTCACACTCAGTAACTCCTTGCGTTTTAGTGGCGTTATTTGACTTGCTTGGGTTGAAATAATTAAAAAAAGCTGTACTCATTCTGCCAACCATTTCATTGTGATTCTGACTCCCGTTTGCTATTTTTTTACTGTAATTCTTTCTTAGAACAAAACTATAAGAACACAAAAACTCTCATGAGTAAGATTATTGTTTATTCAACCCCGAACTTTCTTAATAATATCAATGAGTGGATGTGTGTTTTTGGGTGTTTTGTCTGCGAACGTGGAGTCTTCTTCTCTCAAGGATGTAATGTTTTATGTTTAATATTTAGTTGATTTCACTGCTCTGCAATTACTACACAGTGACGCTCATCGCAGAATTCTTCCATATATTCGACCTTCACACCATTAATGTCTTTGTCAGAAAATAAGAATATATATATATATATATATATATATATACATACGAGGGAAACTAAAAAAGTAACCACACTTTTGTCTAAAGACGTGTTATGGCGAAAGTGCGGATAATTTTGGACTTACCCGTATATATATATATATATATATATATATATATCAAATAACATCTATGATTTTTTTCTTGATGATGACCAGATAATGGTTGTAAGCGATAAAACCAGCGACAAGAAATATGAACAATTACTGCACAATCTTTAAGAAACCATTCGTTCCTTTATACACACAAGAAAAACTATTAAAAAAACAGAAATATATTCCTTGTCGTTCGCATACAAAAATATGTGTATAAATTTGCTGCCTAAAAGTACATATTTATTCCGTAGTTTTAATTAAACCAAATGGAAGGAACCAACCTGTCAAATAGATACGGCTTATTTAATCTGAAATTTATGTATGCGAAATAGTGGCTTTTTGCCTAGGATTGAAAATAGACTTCAGACGCTAATGGAAATTGTGCAAATGTCGCACTCACCTAGAATGACCCATATATATATATATATATATATATATATGATAAAATATAGTTCTAAGGTATGCTGTATTTATGGTTCAATATCAAGGATAGAACCTTTGTAAATATAAAAGTGGTCATTGAAGCCACCCCCAGAGGCAACAATCTGATTCATGTGAAACGCAAAATTGCGTTTAGTATGAAACAGAAGAAAAAATTATCTTAGCCGACGCGTTTCGTCCTCAGATTGACTTTATCAAGGCAAAGATAAGTTTTACCTTTGTCTTCATTCATAATTTCATTTTACAGATATATTTTAGTTCTATCTGAATTAATTTACACACACACACATATATATATATGTTTGCCTAAACAAGTTTCTGTTAAAAAATGAAATATGCAAAATTCGGTGTGCTTTCGGTTAACGTCAAGCATATTTAATTTGTAGCGTAGCTATAAGAAAATCTGTTGTTTTATTTTGCAGTTGGCATCTAAATTCACTAAAATACACTTACCCTCACCTGGCTGTCCGATTTTTCATACGTGCTTGCGTCCTTTTGAATAAAATGCAGATGTTGTCGATAAAAAACAAGAAATTGATCTAGAGAATTAAAGGAAAGAAACAAAAATTAGTTTAGAATACAAACAATTTCCTTTAAAAAATCCTAATACTGAATTTTCTTCGAAGAAAAGTAAGAAAAACTTTGCTAAAATTCTTGGAATTGTTTTATTCAAACTTTGGGTTGAATGGAGACATGTTTTCTCTCTGCAGAAGATTTTAATTTGGATTTCACAAAACAAATTCCTTTAGCAATTTAGTAGTTGTTGCAGACATTTAGAATTTCATTTACACATTTCTCTGTACAAAATTACTAACCTTTCTTGTTCATGTAGCAATTATTTGCAATGGTTCAACAAATAGCTCCAGTCAAACTTTATGTAACAGAGTTTGATCAATGTTCATAAACTTAGATTAATAAAATAATAACAATGTACCTCATATAAACAATAAAATAATTCTATGAATTAGCGAAAATGCAGAAATATTACAGTTACCAATTACAAATATTATTGTTTGTAATTGCAAGTAAAACTAATTTAATATATTAGTTCTTGGCTACTGTTAGTTGTAGTGCATTTCAATGTAATGTATCATTATTACATGGTATCCCGTGAAAGAAAATTCTCAATCAAGTCCCGTGATTTATATATACGTGTGGCTACATCGTTTTAACTATGATCACATATAAAAGGGCTAGCTAGTTATAAGAGTAGCGAAAGCAGAGCAGCTTTAGGGAATACTAAATAAGGTAAATAAATGTGAGCATCATATATAATTCCAGTCTTGTTGTTCGTTGGTGCACTTGGAGTTGGTGAATGATTTGACCTAAGATGCCTCATCACTCTTTAAACCATTAATACTATCTTAAACGATAAACAGAAAAACTGAGATCTCTCAGTCAAAATGTAAGATGTCCGGATTGTTATCATTAAGAGAAAGAACAATAGTGGAAGAAGGAAATAAGTATCTTGACTGTTTTTCGTAATTTCATTTTCTTGTTTCATATAATCACATATTGAGTGCCCCCATCAAAATGGCGACTTACACCGGAGATGAAGTTACAGCATGTTTCCTCATTATTCCAATATTCACTATTTTTTCTATATTTATAGCTTCGTTTCTTTTTCTTACTTCCAATTTCTGTAAGCTTATATTTAAGCTATATTGGAAAATTCCTAGTGTTCCGATAACAATTGGTATCACAGCTTAGTTGATGATCCACAATATCCTCAATTCTCTGGCAAGGTCGAAACATTCATCTTTCGCTTTCTTTAAAATCGACAAAATCCTATCATGTCCTCTCTTTTGACATAGATTAAATTAAAACAGATCAGCCAATCTAAGTTCCAAAAGTTCTGATGTGTTTCATTCCCTAAATCACATATTGGATTTCTATTTCTTGTATGCCAATCTTTGTACCTGAAGTTCACTATTTATTCCCAGAGCCAGTTAGACACACATTGAATTCTACTAAGTAGCTATTGATTGACATTAGATCAGAAAGTTGACCGTTGGATCTATGGAAAATATTAAGCGAATTGACATGGAAGGAGATGATGCTAAAAAAATATATTATTGTCTAATATTGATAATCTTCTTCCATGTGCCGTGTCCCTTCAAGGCATGGGATATCAATGGTCTCTCTATATTTTCCTACACCTTGTAGTATTTAACAACGTTTGTCACTTTGCCAAGCCTTCCTATTTCAACTCCTACTCCCCCACTTCTCCTTTTTCTTTATGACGCGTCTTTGTTGCTTACGCGATCCATCCGTTGTATTTTAAGCAAACTTCCTGTAGAACTACATTTCTCTTTCTCTTCATCAATGAGATTTCCAGCATTCACTGAAATGACGCAATTGGACTTTTTTAATATAAATATTTTATCTATATATATATGTGTGTGTGTGTGTGTGTGTGAGTCTGTGTCTGTCTGTGTGCGTGTATGTGAATCGTAATTAGACATGAAATATGCCTACGCTTGAAGAGAGGTTGTACGAAACATTTCTTTTAAAAAAGAATGATATTTGAATACGATGATGATTTACCAAAACATTTTGTTATCTGGTAACGAAATAAACTGAGTTGCAAGAGTTCATTTAATTTTATTTCAGCACATTGAAAATATCTCTCAGTTGTCACAGATAGATTCATAGGTAAGTTAGTAAATCGTTCAACTAGTAACTTACCACAATAATTAGTATTAAGGGCGCTCGGATAATCCACAAATATTCTATTTTCTGGTTGATATTCCAGCATCTGAAGGAAAGAAAGAGGAAACATATTTATGAAAAAAGTAGAAGTAAGTAATTTTTAAGAGAACAGATGAGATTTTAAATACTTTTACTGCAAATGAAAAGCAAAAAATTGAGAAAATTTATAAAATAATTTGTTTTTGTTTTCCAATATTACGCTCTAAATACATTAGGACACCTTTCAATTTTCGGCAAACATCGTCTTTCGTGCCTGCAAAAAAAATGAAGTATTAAAAGACATCGTTTTTATTTTTCCGATGACACCGTTTTTATCTTAATATTTTTAATCTTCGTCAATATTTATGCTTTTAAAAAGCAATGTAATTAGAATTGTAAAGCTAAAGCGAATATGAAAGCGAATTTATAAATTTTCTTTCAAGTAACATACTCTTCATTATCTTTATGAAAAGATATTACAATTATTGTTCTTATCGCTATAAATTAATTAATATTTTTATTAAGAATTCTGGTTTATTATTATTATAACGATGCAATAGATATAATAACAATTAAAACAATAGTTTTTGTAATAATGACATTAATTATAATCAAAATAACAACTTATAAAAAATAAGCAAGCATCCTTTCAGTGCTACAAATGTGCTTATCATTTGCCTAACCCTAACCAGTTGACATGTTTTCTTTGGACCTCTGAACATGTGAAAAACGAGGAAGTTTTAAGAAAAATGGGAATTAAAAATTGAAATTTCTGATATACATAAGGAAAGAGGGCTTGGGGAATTTGAAAAAAATGCTAGAGGGGCAAAGAAAATCATCGAGTAACCTACCTACCTTGTGTAAATGGATAGCAAAATAGTGACTGGGTGAGGGTTAGTAAAGGGAAAAATACTGCTTAGAGCTAAAAAAGAAAAAAAGGATAGGAAACTGTGGCGAGCCTTGATCGCCCACGTCTTGAAGTAATACATTTTATAAAAGAAATATCAAAAATCGGTTATCTTCATGGAAGTTTCTTCTTTTCACATTCCCGCCGCCTGCCAAGAAATTTAAATTTAATTTCTTGTTTTTATAGACTTTATACTATTGCGTTAATCTGAACAATTGGAAGACATTCAACAATGCACAGAGAATAAAGGAGTGGTTATTTTTTCTATATACCACGTTTGTTTTCTTGTTCCAGTGCCTGTAGAAAACAAACTTACAGCCTTGGTTCGCATCTTTTTTTCTGTCCACAACAATTTTCATGTCTATATCTGTGTCTCGATAAGATGCCTTCTGAAAATCCGACATTTGTCGATACCACAATATTCGATTCAGCACAACAATATTTTTTTTTTTACATTGTCGCCAACCACTTTACTAAGTTTGTTGATCCTGCTGACACTTCCATATTTTGTTCAAAAATTGTGTCTGGTTTCATATTTTGTATCCGTTTCACGCAGGTAAATCGGCAAGGTGCCATCCATGTTAGGCTCACAAGATGGGAATTAAAAACTAAGATACAAGCTGCTTATTTAACAGTCGTAGAATGTAAAAGGACTTGAATCGAACTCAAGTATGTGAAAAACGAGGAATTTCTAAAAAGAATAGGAATTATGACTCAATTACTGCTAATAATCAGATTGAGAAAAAGCTGAGATCTTTTTGGCACATAATAATGAAAGAAGGCGCTGAGAAATTAACACTCACGCAACACACTGAAAGCAAGAGAAACTGGGGAAAATAGTGAATTGATACATCTGAGTGAATAGATAGCAGAATCCACAACTGGTGGAAGTGAGATGAATTCATAGCCTTCCCAAGATTATTTGAGCTTAAATGAATGTAACGAATTCGACAGGAATTCAAACATGGCTCTGCTGCGAGTTCTCTTTCTGAACCGCTAGCAATTTTTACTTTTATTATTATTATTATTTGATCGTTTGTTCTTTGAAATGACCGAAATTCATGTTGTTTTAAATGATAAATCTTTTACAGCATTTTCGTAAACTCCTCGTTTTATTATTGTCTCTGTCTTCGTTCAGTTCTTCTGGGAAGAAAGTCATTTTTCATATTATTTTCATTTCCCCTGTTAAGGCTCAAGCAATTTGCAATATGCAGTGTCGGTTCAATTTCGTTTTTTTTTTTTATTATTAATTAACGTTATAGTTTAACATTAGATAATTAAGATGTCCGATTTTTTTAGATGAAGTAATGTTTTTGACAAGTTGTAAATTTATGTGATTTTTTTATCCTTTTTTTTTATCGCAACCCTCAAGTAAAAGTCTACTTATTTTTTTTGTTTAAATATGTTTGCTTAATATCCTCAGAAAGTAGAAATGACAAATTGCTGATTGATATTCTGCAAAAACAAACAAATCAAACATTTCTAGTTCAAAACATTTCAAGTTGTAAGAATAATTCTATTTTTTGTAAATGACTGTTGCAGTACCAATTGTTTTGAGAATAATAAAGATTTTCCATATACAAAACCAACTATTAACCCATAGTTTGTGGCGATTCATAATTCTTCTCAAGGTCATTTGTAACGAACTCGACTCGAATTTTTATGTATTTGAACTCGACTTGGAATTCACAAATACTTGAATTTTCAAGCATTTGACAAACATTTTCAACGTTTTTTGAGTGAATAAATAATTAAAATCAGTAGAGGATCCAAGAATTCTTTCGGCTTACGGCCACATCACGTTGAAACTTTTTTTTTTTTTTTGCAATGAACGAAGTTAAGCAACGTCGAGCCTGGTCCTAGATGGGTGACCGCTTGAAAATACCACGTACTGTAGGCATAGATGTGTTGTAATCGATAATGGTTCCAAATTGCAAATCGGAGAGCGGAGTTCCATTTCCAGTTGGGGTCGTTATATTCACTTACTTGCAATTATACCCCTGGGAAAACTATGAATCGATCTCTTCTCCACCCCAGCTATGGGTTAATTAGTAGGACTTGTATCAATAAATCATTATTGTCTAAAAAATAAATCTTACAATGTAAAAATATTTTCTGACTTTAAATTAACATGCAGTGGGTTGATAAGCCGTAAAAACCAAATTAATCAGTCAACTAAGAGTTTATTCGAGATATGAATACATCTTTTTCTTTTGTTCATATAATATTTTAGTTCCATTCTTTTGCCTTCTTCATGGGCAGTATTTTTTTCTTCTCTTCTTTTACAGAAAATTGGGGCGAGGAGAAGAACATGGTGGTTAAAATGGCGACTCGTTCAGCACATTCCAGGGAAGATAGAATTTTCTGTGCTTTTTACATTACAACAAAAAAAGTCGAAAGTAATAAAACAAAAAGCAAACCATTCAAATTTGACATTGTTTAATTTTCTTCCTACAGCCATTCCAATATGGCACCGGAATTCAATTTTAACATTTCTTCTTAAAAAATGAATGGATGTTGCGTTTTTATGAATATCAGGATTCCGATCAATGGTCCCATAACCGTAGGGTCGTTGGGGCAGTTACTGTAGTTGCAAAACCTGACGGAGCACAGACCTCTTCAGCCTGCTTTTGCATGTATACTACACAGGTTGACATACCAATGCAAGTACCATCAGTCTGCTCTGCTATTTGATCCATAGGTGGAGGGAGATGGATTCCTGTATTAGCGCGAAGTAAACAAAATAGACTTTTCCTGAATTCGAACTTGACATGCTAATTCCACTTAATTTTTGCCATTCGCACATCCACCTTTAACGATCTACATACAGGAAAAGAAAAAATAAATAATTCTTGGTAATTCTTTATATTTATTACAGGCTGACTATAGTCTTAATCTTTGTTTTTATCACAACGGTTCGGCCGTTGTGAATCCCGGCCTTCACCATTTGCTTATCAATTGCACCACCCAAACAACCGAAATGACACGAAGATTCCGATAAAAATAATGATAATGCATTAATGGAATAAAAATTGTCACCAAACTAACTAGAAGATTAACTTTTATCTGTGGGACAGTGACCCAGGAGACTGGCTCGTGAATTTAGTGAGGAAGTTACTGTGAGTTCAATCCCTGGGTCGGTCAGTGGAAACGAGCGCGCAATAACAGATTAGTACGAAATAAGAACTAAGACGAGAAATGCTTAGACGTCGGCTGTGGAATGAGAATAGTCTAAAAGCTTAAATAAAGGGTTCAGTTCTAAATTCCTTGTAGATTACCTAGATACCTGATAAAGGCCGGAGGGTACTATAGCCGAAACGTTGTGATAAAAACAAAAAAGATGAGGACTATATGATTGATTGATTTTTTTACGCTTTATCAACCATTTGCTGGTTATTTAAAGTTAGAAAATATTTTTAGATTGTAAGAAGTTTTGGAGATAATAATGATTTACTGATACGCATTCAACTAATTAACCCATAGCATCGGTGAGTTCATACATTTCCCAATGGTATTTTGCACGTAAGTGAATATAACAAACCCGACCAGAATTGGAACTCAGTTCTCCGACTTCCAATTCCGAGCCATTATACATTACACCACCTGCACATGTCCAAGCTTACAACACCTGGTACTCTCAAGTGGCCACCCATCTAGGCACGGACCAGGTTCACTATATTACTTAACTTCGGTTAGCGTACTTGAATTGGTGTTCGACGTGATATTGTCGTAAGCCATGAGGACTATAGCCCGCATGTCAATAATGAACCCAGAAATCCAGACAGAAGTGTAGGCAATTTTGTTCTTTATTTCATAAGTAAAGGTTTATTACTATTCCACATGATTAAAAAAATGTTTGGTATGTTTTTGGGTAAGGTAATTTTACCAATGACTTTTCTAAACTGAATATAGCCTACAAATTACGTTTTTGCTTTCACTTTTTTTTTTTTCGCTGGGATTATATTTCTGTCGCTAGTGGAATATGACTAAAACTCTTGAAGCCGGAAAGAAATAACAGAAAAAGACCTTTGTGTGGAGAAACAAGGTCACTATTAGTTCTTAAACCAAAAATAACGATGTTTTTAGTCGCTACGAATTTTTCAGATGCTTATTTGCTATAGTAATAAGATGTAATAAATGAAAATTATATGAATTTCTTT